TCTCGCGTGCGAGTTGTTGCGACGCTGGGTAGGCGATGAAAAAATGGTGAGGACATTGAAGTGCGCGCCGTGCTGCAATTGCCGTTCCAAAACCAATATTGATGGTAACGAAGTGTTGGGATATCGTGGCTATGGACCATGGCATGCAACAGCTCGTGACAGCGCCATCGACGGCGACTGTGTTAATCAATCTGCGCGCCCAAGAGAGATCCCTCCAGAACGGGGCCCCCGTGAATTAACAATGGTATTACCGCCGCCGAAATAGAGGACATTGGGTTGTTCAGCAAGGACGTGCCCATGACTTTGGCATCCCATTTCAGATCGTGGTCGGCGCGGATACTTACAGCTCATCATCGCCATCATCACCATCATCATCATCATCAACGAGATGTGGCGCAGGGGCAGCCGCAAGACCTCGCATCCTGGCTGAACCGCTGCGCAGCTGCTTTGGTGCCACAAGTTCGTGCGACTTGGAACTGGTCAAGCATGCGGCCGCCGTGGCCAAGATCAGCGTGACTTGAAAATCGAGGTGTTTTCATCCCGTGTTGTCTCGTCCAATGTTTGATTCTATCGCTCCACACCCGGGGCACGGACAACAGCGGTGGCCATTATACATCCAGAATTTTGATCACGAAGGCTGCGCGGGTTTTCCCAGCTGCGACCGCGGCAAACAACTTGCTCCCCAGCGCTGCCACGTTGAGCAGAGCGCGCCTGTGCCTCGACGTCGCGCGGGTGCTCGCTCAGCGGGGGAAGCGCATCGGTTTCGTCGCGGACGACGCCGCCGTCTACTCCATGAAGGACTCGGCGCCTCAGGGCGGCCGCGACTGGTTCATTTGGCGGAACTTTTTCGGGGTTTGGTGTCACTCGGTTGGCGGGGCGTTGGCGCTGCCGACGCGGCCGGGCAGGGCGCGGCGGGTTTGTTTGTAGTCGTGGACGCCCTAGGGCCGCATGGCTTTGAGCGGCGTTAATTCTAAATATATTAAAACAGTAGGAAGAAAGAGAATGAGGGGGGGGGCGGGGGATGGCGGCGCAGGACGAGAAGGCGGAGAAGGAGGGAGAAGAGGAGGAGGAGGGAACAGGCTCATCCGCGAATGCGTTATCCTCTGTGGTGCCGACCTCGACAGGGCGCTGCGGATGGCGAACAGGCTTCAGATTCAGCACCAGGCGTTTGATAAGCGCGATGATGCAACCATGCAAAATACCCAACGAGAGCTTCAACTATGTTCGCAAGTACGCACGTTCTCTCCAGTTTGTATCGGCCCACCATGGCAGCGCAGCGCACAGGCTTCGCGCTTTGCTCCATGGCGCCCGACTCGAATGCGGCCCGCGGCAACTAGTCAGCCGTCTGCTCGGTCAGTTTTTTCCCGCGGTCACCGACCACGGGGTTGAGCCTCACTTTTCTTCTGTCATGCGTGGCTAACGAGATGCGTCCGCATTGCCGCCCTGTGCGCCAGGCGGCCGGCGGCGATGCGAATCCCTTCGATTTCGGCGACGTCGCGGCGGGCGACAGGCACTTCCACGACGTCCTGGAGGACACGCAGACACGATTGGTCATGAGGCAGGCACTGCAAACACCAGGCCGTGTCAATGCACTTGACAAAACACGCCCGTCTCTTTCTACATCGCCGCGCAGCGCAGACAGCCGGGAGCATGCGGCGCTCGGCAATGCGCTCCCGACAGTCATTCATTCACCGCCTTTGCCCTGCCGCGGCCGGGCCGTTCGGGGCACGCGACGCAGGGCCGCGGCAGTCGCTGTTCAACGCGAGTTTTGCCCCACTCACCGTCTTGGGCCACGCTGGCGATGGGGGTCCGCGATGTGGCCAACCTGGGAAACTGTCGAATGTCTTCGACTAGTATTTTCTCGGTTGAAGATACCGGCGCTTGGCGGCACTTGGCGGCGCGAGAGCGTTTGGGGGCCCGATGGGGCCGGCGGTCTCGCTTGCGCGCCCGCGGTTTCGCAGAGGTCGGCGACCCCGAGCTATTCTCTAAACGTTCCCGTGGCCACATGGGGCCGCGCGGCCACTGGGCGCCGCCCAGCGGTAATTCTCGGAACTGCTAGCGGCCGCTGAGTGCTCATTGGTAATGTTCGGAACTACTAACGGCCACTTCGCGCCAGTGAGTGGTAGATCTCGGGTTTGTCGCTACATGGCATTTAAATTCCCAGGGCCACTGGCGGCCGCTTGGCGCCACTACATGGTAATTCTCGGAGCCACTAGCGGCCGCGCAGTGCCGCTAAACGGTGCTTCTCGGAGCCAGCGGCGGCCCCTAGAGCCATTGAGTGGTAATTTTCGGGGCCGCAGTGCGGCCGCTAGCGGCCACTAAGTGCCACTACATGGCAATTTTCGGCGGTCGCGATGGTCTGTCCGTGCGAGGTCCATGGGAGCTTTCTGCGTAGCGTTTCGTTGCGGTTTCCCGAGGGGCCGATTCGTTGACGCCTGCTTGATTGGAGAGAACGTTGCATGGCGACTCTGCCTCCGCGGCGGCACCCCTCTCTGCGATGGGTGTCCGGTCGCGGGGCGTTGTCGCAGGCAGTGCCCTGTAGATTGGCTCTTACAGAAGCGATGCCCTTGAACGTTTTTGAGCGAAGACCCCTTGCAGTTCGGCAATGGTCGGGGAGATTTGCGCATGCGCCTCGATGCCCGGGATAGCTGTTTCGCTCGACGCGTCGCGCCGCCCCGCGGGGCAAACCAGCGCCGCGGCGGCGGCGGCGATCCGCGCAGCCTGCGCGCGAGGGCGTTGGCGCTCGACGGCCCGCCGAACGCGCAATCCCAAACGCTGGCGCAGCACGGCGAACGACAGCAGCACTTAATCAGGCCCCGCTCTTGTCCCCCACTGCCTGGCGCGACCCGTCAGCAGCCCCGGGGCCTTGTCCATCGCTGCCTCGAGGCCCCCGCGACGCCCGCGGGGGGGGGTCCGCGCGCGCCGCGGGCGCGCCTGCGACGAAGCGACCGACGCAGCGACGCCGGCCAGACCCGTCGCGATCATCTCGGGGCCCATTCTGGGCCCATCGCCTTGCTCTGCGACGGTTCCCTCGGCTTCTCCAAGCGCCCCCAGATGCGCCGCGAAGGTTGCGGCGGGGCCCTGGTGGGCCACCGCGAGCGCAGGCCAGTCCCCAGCGATCGCGGCGCCCGCCCGAGTCATCCGTTACCATTTGTTCTGCATTGCGCAGCGCGCGTCGAGGTCGTTGGCCTCGCCGTTCGCCTTTGTCTTCTGGATGGATCAATGGAACTACCGGACAACTCGGCAGGCCGACAGCTGGCCCCACCAATGTCACGCGATCGCTAGCCCCCTTTGGAATCCCGCGGCCGGCCTAAAACGTTTCTCTTTGGGCTTGTCGAGCGGCGTTTCCGAGCCCAGCCGCGGTTGCTGGCGACGCCCCGCGAGTCCCCCCCGCAGCGGGGGAACGAACGCAATGGTAGACGCGGCGCGCTCCCACGGGCTATGTCGCAGCGCCCGCGTCCCCGAGACACCGCCATGCATTCCCGCGGGCGCCCTCGCGCGTGCCATGAGTCGACGAAGGCGCGGGGTCGAGGTGGTACTTTCGAGTCGCCGAAACCTTCGGCCACCAGGGCCCTAGACAAGTCCGAGAGCAAAGCTTCCAAACTTGGCGACAATTCCGGGAGCAGAAAGCGTGAAAGTGATGATGATGATGATGCGGATGATGATGGTGATGAGGATGATGAGGATGATGAGGATGATGAGGGTGATGATGAGGATGCAGTTGATCACGGAGGACGCTGGGACACGGACAACATTTTGGCTGACACCAGCGCCAAATCCACAATATTTGCGGAGGATGTGGATCACGCATCCTACAGGTCGTTGGCTGCAGGAGCGGGGTAGGGGTAATTACACAGCCAGCAGTGTCAGTGAGATATCCGTCAGGTGCTCCTAGTTGCTTGCCTGTCGTGCAAACGTTTGTGAGTGACAACGCGGTGCTCGCTTCTAAAGTTCCAGTTGTGGACCTCGCGTTCGATGACATGCACTCTGCCATGGGGAAAAAGGAACGAGATCTGAGAATACCCATGATCAGCATCATCATCATCATCATCATCATCCTCACCAGTCGCAGTATCACCATCATAATCGAGCTCACTATCATCATCATCGTAATCATCATCATCATAATCATCATCCTACGCAGCATCATCATCATTATCCTCATCATTAACATCATGATTCTCATCATCACCATCTTTGCCGTGGCGTCGCCACCGCCGCTGCTGGCATCGTCGCTGCTGTTTCCGTCGCAGGCGCGCCCGCGCTCCTGCTGCTGCCCCTCTCGCTCACGCTGCCTCTGCAATTCCCTTGGCATCGCTCGGACGTGTGCATTCTTCATTCGGCGAGGACCATCGAGGAGCATCCTTGACCACTTTGCGAAAAACACGCACGAAACCGAACAAAAAACACAGGGGACGGACGTCCGAGCGATGGCGAGTTCCTCCCTCGCCTCCTGCGATGGCCGCGCAGCATTGGTTATGCAGTTGGGTTCCCCGGTGGATCCAGGGCGGGCCTGCGATGGGGCCTTTCAGAGGAATAGGAGAGGGAAGAGGAGGAGGAGGAGGAGGAGGAGGAGGAGGAGGAGGAGGAGGAGGAAAAGGAGGGGGGAGGAAAGAGGGGGGAGGAGGCAGGAGGGAGGAGGGAGGAAGGACGATGGATGATCGAGGAGGGGAAGGAGGAAGGAGGGAGGAGGGAGGAAGAAGGAGGGAGGAGGAGGGAGCAGGCAGGGTGAAGGAGGAGGGATGGGGGAGGAGGAGGAGGAGGAACAGGACGAGGAGGAGGAGGAGGAGGAGAAGAGAAGAGAAGAGAAGAGAAGAGAAGAGAAGAGAAGAGAAGAGAAGAGAAGAGAAGAGAAGAGAAGAAAAGAGAAGAGAAGAGAAGATATCATAATGATGAGGAGGGGTCGTGGCGCTGCGTGGTGCCCTGCCGGGGTACACGGAGGCCTTCGGTGAAAGTGACTAGGCGAGCAGTGGCAGCGGGCCCTGGCGCTGCTGAGTGAGATGCGGGAGGCGAATCTGGAGCCCGACGTCATCTGTACTACAATTTCGGGCGAAGCACTTGCGAAAAGGTCAAGCAGTGGCAGCGTCCAGGGCCGCCCAGAGAGCTCGCGGGCCGCCCGGAGAGCCTCTTGGCCGCTGCCCGACGGGCCCGGGAGGCCCCCGGACCGCTCGCGGACTGATCCAGGATTCCCAGATCGCCCCAAGACGGCCTCAGGAGGTCCCGAAGACGGCCCAAGACGGTCCAAGAGTGTATCCGAGACGTTTCAGATGGCTTCAAGACGCCTTCAAGACGGCCCGAGACGCCTCCTTGAGGCCCCCAGAGCGCTCGAAGTGCACCTCCAAGAGGGGCCGCAGAAGCCAAAATCGTTGATTTTCTTTGTTTTTATGGCCTTCTTGCTTTTTCGGCTTTCCGACGCTCCACGGCCTCCCAAGAGGCCCCCAAGACTGTTCCAAGACGGCCCAAGAGGCCTTCAAGACGGCCCCAAGACGGCCCAAGAGGGCCCCAAGACGGCCCAAGAGTCGCCCAAGACGGCCCAAGAGGGCCCCAAGAAGGCCTCAAGAGAGGCCCAAGACAGGGACCCGGAACCGAAAAATCGAGGCCTCCACCCCAAGAGGCCCCCAGGAAGCCCCAAGACGCCCCAAAGAGAACCGGGGACGCTCCCAAGACATCCCCAGGAGGCCCCGGGACGCCCCAAAGAGGCTCCAAGAGGCCACCCAGAGGCCGCCAAGCGCCCCAAAAAGGCTCCCAAGAGGCCCCAAAAGAGTGCCCAAGAGGCCCCAAGACGCCCCAAAACTGCTACCAAGAAGCCCCCCAACTGTCTCCCAGAGGCTCCCGAGAGGCCAACCACGAGATCCCAACCAACATCCACGAGATCTCTTACCCATTACCCAGGCCCGCGGCGAGATTGCCCGCAGGCCACTACAGCCGGTTCGGGAGCCCTACGTACACCAGCACCCGCACCTTTGGCTGTATCGGGGGCCTCACCGCTGATCTTTCGGTTCTGCTGGCTTCGACCTGCCAGAGCTCTGAGCCGCTCCCCGACGGCCCCAGGACGCCCCTGGAGTGCTCCCCGACGGCTCCCGGACCCCCACATCGCTCCAAGACGGCCCCAAAGACGCCCAAGAGAGCCGAAACCGATCCGGCCAGAGCCTCACGACGGCCTCGAAATGCCCCATGCCTCGAGGGCACTGTGGACCGCGCCAAAAGGCACCAATTACCGTTTTCCGAAGGTTTGGGGGGATTCTTGTTCTTCCCGCCATTTCAGGACTTGAGCGGCCCTTCACGGCCCCAGGACCTCAGGTCACCCCTAGACCGCCCAACAGAACCCGCGGATGGCCTTCATATGGCCCAAGAAGGGCCAAAGACCGCCGAAGAAGGCCCCAAGACAGCCCGAGAGAGTTTCAAGTCACGCAGAAGACAGCGACAACTGGGCCCCAGGTGCCGCCCAACAGAGCCCAAATCGACTTCCGAGACGGCCCGAGACCCCCAAGATGGCCCTAAGGCGCCCCAAGAAGAGCCCCAGATGCCGCCCAAGAGGGCCGAAAGCGACCTCCGAGACGGCCCGAGACCCCCAAGATGGCCCCAAGATCTCCCTGCGCGGCCCCCAACCAAGGCCCGCAAACGTGCTCCCTTCACTCTGACTATGCCTGAAAACCACGTGTTTTTGCTAATCGCCCACAGGCCCGGCGCGATTAGCAAAAACCCATTCTTTTTCACGCTTCCAGGTCAGTGCCCCTGGAGGTCCCCCGACTGCTTTCCGGGATGGCCCTGTAAGCGTCGGCCCCACACGTGGCCCCCAAACGGGACTCCCAAAGGCGGCCCCCACATAAAGCCTCCGAAGGTCGCCCCTACCGCCCCAGTAAGCGTGGCCCCCGAACGTCGCCCCCACGAGTAGCCCCCAGGCGCCCCCAAACCTGGCCCCTACACATAGCCCCCAACCATTGCCCTCAAACGTGACCACACATCTGCTTCCGAAGGTCGCCCCTACCGCCCGCCCCAAGGACGCCCGAGCTGTTCAACTTCGACGATCTGGTCGCCTATGGCGTGCGAGTCCAAGGCTCAGCACGCCGTGGATTTAATCCACGGGTTTACACTAGTCTCTACTACATTGCAGGGCCCAGTGCGTACCAGAAGGGCGCAGGATCAAGTGACCAATAATCGCCCCGGGCTGGCCCCGGGCCGCCCCGGGCCGCCCAGGCAGGCCCCAGGACATGTCGAGAGGGCCCCCAGAAGCCCCCAAGACGGCCCCGGAGAGCCCCGGCACGCTTAAAGATGGGCCCAAGACGCCCGAGATTCGCCCCAGGCGGCCCAAGAGGCGTCCAAGACGCCCGAAGAGGCCTCCCAAGAGGCCTCCCAAGAGGGCCCCGAGCGACAGAAATCGTCGATTTCTGTGTTTTTCGATGTTTTCGGCCTCCTCGCCTCTTCGGCTTCCCGACGCTCCAAGACGGCCCAAGAAGTCCCCCCGACCGCTCCAAGACGGCCGAAGAGGACCCCAAGAGAGCCCCAAGACGGGCCAGGAGGGCCCCCAGACGGTCCCAAGACGCCCCAGGACGGCCCCAGGACGGCCCAGGAGGCGCCCAAGACGGCCCAAGAGGCACCCAAGACGGCCCCAGGAGCGGCCCAAGACGGCCCAAGACAGCCCAAGAGGCGCCGAGGCGGGTCTCAGACGGCCCCAAGACGGCCCAAGAGGCACCCAAGACGGCCCGAGAGGGCCCTAAGAGCCCCCCCGGGAGGCCCAAAAGAAGGCCGAAGAGGCTCCGAAACGGCCCCCACAAAGCCTTCAGTGCTTCAGAATTCCCTCCAGGAGCGGGGGAGCGGACGAGAGGCGACAGGCATATCGCAGGCAAAAACGCCCCAAGAGATCCCCAAACGGCCCCCACGAAGCCCTAAGTGGCCTCAGAATTGCTTCCAGGAGGGGGGGAGCGGACGAGAGGCGACCGGCATATCGAAGGCACAAAAGAACAATGTTGGACGCTCCGAGGGCCTTCGATGTTTCTCCGTTGGGGAGAGTCGTCGTAGGATCGACGATTGCCGACCGAGGGCAGCGAATCCAGTGGAGGCCCAAGAGGCCCCCAGGAGCCCAAAAGAGATCCCCAAGAGGTGCCACGGGGCTTAAAAACTGCTTCGAAGCGAGGGGGGCGGACGAGGGGACCGCCTCAGGAGGTTTTGGACGGTTTTGGGCCTCAAAATCGTCCGCTTTACGACGGTTTTGGAAGGATTTTGGCCTTCTCGCCTTTTCCGCTTTCCGACGCTCGAAGACGGCCCAAGAGGCCTCCAAGAGCGCCCCAGAACGGCCCAAGAGGTTTCCAAGAGCGCCCCAAGACAGCCCAAGAGGGCCCCAAGACGACCCAAGAGACGCTCAAGACGGCCCACGAGGGCCCGAAGACAGGCTCAAGAGGGGGCCAAGAGGGGGACCACGGACCGAAAATCCGAGCCTTCCGCCCCAAGAGGGCGCCAGGAGGCCCAAACAGGCCCCCAAGAGGACCCAAGGGGCCGCCAAGAATCCCCCGAAGAGGCCCCAGGAGGCTCCCAAGGAGCCCAAACGAGGCCCCTACAGAGGCCCCAACAGCTTCCAAAATGGCCCCGAAGAGGCCTCGAGCCCGCCTCCGAGCTTCCTCGCCGCGAGGGTGCCAACACGGCCCCAGACCGGCCCAGGACGGCCCAAGGCGCGCTCAAGACGGCCCAAGACGATTCCAAGACGGTCCCAGGAGGGTGCGCCCAGGACGGCCCAAGGACGCGCCCGTTCGGGGCCTCAAGACGGGCCAAGATGGCAAGAGAGTCCCAGCTGGCAAAAATCGTTAATTTTCAATTGTTTACTGTTACACCCTTTGCGTTTCCCGCCGTTTCGGCGGTCCGATGCACCAAGAGGCCCCAGAAAGTCCCAGGAGGGTCCGAGGAACCGCCCAGGAAGGCCCCAAGACGGGCCAAGACGGACCCAGCACAACCCAAGGCGCGCTGCGACGGCTCAAGACGGCTCCAAGACAGCCCCAAGAGGGTGCCAACACGGCCCCTGCTGGGCCCAGGACGGCCCAAGGAGGCGCACAGGCCCAAGACGACTCCAGGGCGGCCTCCTCACGGTCCCAGACGGCTCCAAGACAGCCCCACGAGGACCCCGATAGACCCAAGACGGCCTACGGACGCGCCCATGAGGGGCCCACGACGAACCAAGACGGCCCCATCAGGGCAAACGGCGCCCTCAAGACGGGCCTAGACGGCTCCAAGACGGCCCTTTGAGGTAGCCAACGCGGCCCCACACCTTTCGGGCGCACACTTGGGGGGGCTGGGAGCTTGCGACAAGTCTCCCACATTCATTGTCCTGCCCCATTCTGTTCGCCTGGAGGCCTCCTCCAACCCTGTGGGCGAACAAGAGGAATCCCAGCGGGACGCCAACCCTGGGGCCCGTGGGCCCCGCGCCGCTTGGGCAGAAGACGAACGCCGGGTCTGACAGGCCAGCTACCGCCCCCCTTTGCCCGATATGCTGTGCCATTCTGTTCCCCCAGGGGCCTTGGCAAACTCTTCGGGCCAAGCAGACCGGACCCCTGGGACAGCAGCCAATTGATATGACCCTGGGACCTCTCCGCATTCTTCGGACGAGCATCTGGGGGGCCCAGGAGATTCGGACATGTCTTCCCCATTCCTTGCCCTGTCCCGTTCTGTTCGCCCGAAGGCCTCCACAGACCCTCTGGGCGAACAGAATGGGACATGGCGAACAAACCCTCCCGTTGGCGGTGATGCGACTGGATCGCACCATCAAGGCGCGCCCGGAGGTGATGGCCGACCCAACAGCGGTTTCTCTTAAGAGTTCACTGGATTTCAAATTTTCTTGAAGCTCTCTTGGGCCCTCCCTGTAGATCCTTGCGAGCCTCCCCGGCGCTTTCGGTGGCTTTCCCCGATGGCCTCCCGAGCCCTTCCCCGAGCGCTCCTGAGACGCCTCAGATGGGCTTCGACTTCGACGCACATCCCCGAGAGACTTCGAAACTGTCCTCAATAGGAGGGGGGTGAACGAGCAGTGCGCTGGGCCAAGCTGCTGCAGCGCTGCAAGAGCTCGGACACGAAGGCGCGGTCTCGCTGCCGCCGCCCGAGCCGCCGCCGTGTTTGTAGATTTTCGGTGCAATCTGCGCCGTTCCTCCGAGAACCATTCCAGAAAGATGTCGTGGACGGAGTCCACGGGTCAGCCCTAGTCAGCTACAGTGCTGGGATCAGCGCGTGCGCGAAGGGCGAGCAGTGGCAGCGGGCCCTGGCGCTGCTGAGTGAGATGCGGGAGGCGAATCTGGAGCCCAACGTCATCAGCTACAATGCTGGGATCAGCGCGTGCGCGAAGGGCGAGCAGTGGCAGCGGGCCCTGGCGCTGCTGAGCGAGATGCGGGAGGCGTATCTGGAGCCCACCGTCATTAGCTACAATGCTGGGATCAGCGCGTACGCGAATGGCGAGCAATGGCAGCGGGCCCTGGCGCTGCTGGGCGAGATGCGGGAGGCGAATGTGCAGCCCGACGTCATCAGCTACAGCGCTGGGATCATTGCGTGCCAGACGGGCGAGCAGTGGCAGCGGGCCCTGGCGCTGCTGAGCGAGATGTGGGAGGTGAATGTGGAGCCCGACGTCATCTCTACTACATTGCAGGGCCCAGTGCGTGCCAGAATGGCGCAGGCCCCAATGCACCGAAACCGCCCCGGGCTGGCCCCGGGCCGCCCCGGGCCGCCCAGGCATGTCGAGAGGGCCCCCAGAAGCCCCCAAGACGGCCCGGGAGAGCCCCGGCACGCTTAAAGGTGGGCCCAAGACGCCCGAGGTTCGCCCCAGACGGCCCAAGAGGCGTCCAAGACGCCCGAAGAGGCCTCCCAAGAGGGCCCCGAGCGACAGAAATCGTCGATTTCTATTGTGTTTTTCGATGTTTTCGGCCTCCTCGCCTCTTCGGCTTCCCGACGCTCCAAGACGGCCCCAGAAGTCCCCCCGACCGCTCCAAGACGGCCGCAGAGGACCCCAAGAGAGCCCCAAGGCGGGCCAGGAGGGCCCCAAGACGGTCCCAAGACGCCCCAGGACGGCCCCAGGACGGCCCAGGAGGCGCCCAAGACGGCCCAAGAGGCACCCAAGACGGCCCCAAGAGCGGCCCAAGACGGCCCAAGACAGCCCAAGAGGCGCCCAGGCGGGCCTCAGACGGCCCCAAGACGGCCCAAGAGGCACCCAAGACGGTTCGAGAGGGCCCTAAGAGCCCCCCCAGGAGGCCCAAAAGAAGGCCGAAGAGGCTCCGAAACGGCCCCCACGAAGCCTTCAGTGGCTTCAGAATTCCCTCCAGGAGCGGGGGAGCGGACGAGAGGCGACAGGCATCATGATTGCCTTTCGGCCCTGCAGCCGCACCCCCCCGCGCTTGCCCAGAGACCCCTCGCTACGTCGAGCTGATGTCGTGGACGGAGTCCACAGGTCTGCCCTAGTCAGCTACAGCGCTGGGATCATTGCGTGCCAGAAGGGCGAGCAGTGGCAGCGGGCCCTGACGCTGCTGAGCGAGATGTGGGAGGTGAATCTGGAGCCCGACGTCATCTCTCCTACATGGCGGGTGGAAGCGCGTGCGAGAAAGTCAGGCACTCAAGTGCACAAAATCGTCCCTTTACGGCCCCAGGCTGGCCCCGGGCCGCCCCGGGCCGCCTCGGGAGGCCCCAAGACACGCCAAAAGGGCCCAGAGAGGCCACCAAGACGGCCCCGGAGGGCCCCGGCACGCCCAAAGATGGGCTTAGACGCTCGAGATTGGCCCAAGACGGCTCCAGAGACCTCCAAGACGGCCCAAGAAGCCTCCCAAGAGGCCTCCTAAGAGGGTCCCGAGTGGCAGAAATCGTGGATTTCCATTGTGTTTTTCGATGTTTTTGGCCTTCTCGCCTTTTCGGCTTCCCGAGGCTCCAAGACGGCCCCAGAGGTCCCCAAGACCGCTCCAAGACAGCCGAAGAGGCCCCCAGGAGAGCGTCAAGACGGGCCAAGAGGGCCCCTAGACGAGCCCCAGCAGGCCCGGGCGCGCTCCGAGACGCTCCAAGACGAGCCAAGGAAGGCCCCAAGAGACCTTCAAGATGGCCCCAGAGGGCCCCGGCACGCCCAAAAATGAGCCCAAGACGCTCAAGATTGGCCCAAGACGGCTCCAGAGGTCTCCAAGACGCTCCAAGAGGCTTCCCAAGAGGCCTCCCAACAGGGCCCCGAGTGGCACAAATCTATGATTTCCATTGTGTTTTTCTATGTTTTCGGCCTTCTCGCCTTTTCGGCTTCCCGACGCTCCAAGACGGTCCCAGAGGTCCCCCAGACCGCTCCAAGACGGCCGAAGAGGGCCCCAAGAGAGCCCCAAGACGGGCCAAGAGGGCCCCAAGACGGGCCCCAGCAGGCCCCGGCGCGCTCCGAGACGCTCCAAGACGCGCCAAGGAAGGCCCCAAGAGACCTTCAAGATGGCCCCAGAGGGCCCCGGCACGCCCAAAAATGAGCCCAAGACGCTCAAAATTGGCCCAAGACGGCTCTGGAGGTCTCCAAGATGCCCCAAGAGAGGGTCCCGAGTGGCAAAAATCTATGATTTCCATTATGTTTTTCGATGTTTTCGGCCTCCTCGCCTTTTCGGCTTCCCGACGCTCCAAGACGGTCCCAGAGGTCCCCCAGACAGCTCCAAGACGGCCGAAGAGGGCCCCAAGAGAGCCCGAAGACGGGCCAAGAGGGCCCCAAGACGGCCCCACGACTCCCCAAGACGGCCCCAGCACGGCCCAGGAGGCGCCCAAGACGGCTCAAGAGGCACCCAAGACGGCCCCAAGAGCGGCCCGAGACGGCCCAGGACAGCCCAAGAGGCGCCCAAGCCGGCCTCAGCTGGCCCCAAGACGGCCCAAGAGGCACCCAAGACGGCCCAAGAGGGCCCTAAGAGCCTCCCCGGGAGGCCCAGAAGACCCCAAGTGGCTCCGAAACGGCCCCCACGAGGCCCTAAGTGGTTTCAGAATTGCCTCCAGGAGGGTGGGAGCGGACGAGAGGCGACAGGCATTTCGCAGACACTAAAGAGCCGTGCAGCATCAGCAGCACGCGTTGACAACGCAAGCGTCATTCAGCATCATGCAGAATGCGGCAACATCCAGCACCAGGCAAAAAGCTAGCAGCAGCACCAAGCCGTAGCAAGCAGCAGCCCACACCAGTCAAACCGCAGGCGGCAGCAGAAGAACGACAAAGCGAGTAACAGCAGGCAGCACTCAGCACAACAAGCGGCGGCCATGAAGCCTCCGAGAGTGTTCGAGAGGGTCCTCATGACAAGCGTCGTTGGCCAGGTGCGCCTTCCAGCAGTACTCTCTCCACCCCGCAAGTGGACGTAGTCCACGGGTCAGCCCTAGAGCGCTCCAAGACGGCCTCAGCGGGTCCCGAGACGGCCCACGAGGGCCCCAAGCCTTCGGAAGGTGGCTCCCAAAGACGCCCCAAGAGGGCCCCGAGCGCACGCCAAAGAGGCAAAAATCGTCGTATTCCGATCGGAAAACGTACATTTTCAGCATATCCGCATTGTGTGCTCCTCAGCGGCCCAGGACTCGCCAAGAGGCCTCCCAAATCGCCCCAAGACGACCCCATCGGCTCCCAAGAGGCCCCATAGACGTCCCAAGAGGGCCGCAAGACGCCCCTCAAACGGCCTAATCCAATAGCCCTTATAACGGCGACGATGGAACACAGTGCCGGGGAACTGCTTTGAACATCACCAGTCGTTCAAAGCAGTGCCCCGGCACTGCTTTGAACGATGCGGAAATGCGATCAGCAGGAGCCTTCGTCTGTTCCTTCTCCTCTTCTCGTCGCTGTATGCTCTTCCTTGTCCTCCCTCCTCCCCCGTTCCCTCTCTAATTAATTACCTCGTTCTCCCAGTCTCACGCGCACTCTTCCTCCCCCCTCTCCTCCTCCTCTTCCTGCTTCTCCTCCTCGTCCTCCTCCTCCTCCGCCTCCTCCCCCTCATTTGTTATATTTCTCCGTCCTTGTCCTCCTGTCCCCGTTCTCCTTCTCCCTCTCCTCCTCCTCCTCCTCCTCGTCGTCGTCGTCCTCCTCCTCTTCCTCCTCCTCCTCCTCCTCCTCCTCTCCTCCTCCTCCTCCTCCTCCTCCTCCTCACCTTCTTCCTCCTCCTCCTCCTCCCCCTTTTCCTCTCCCTCCTCCTCCTCCTTCTCCTCCTCCCCCTTCCCCCTCTTCCTCCTCTGCTATCACTCCTCCATAATTCCTGTCCGCTCCTCCCCTTCACTGATCTTCCTCTTCGTCATCATCATCCCTTTCGTCGCACGCCTCTTAATCCTCAATCGGTTCCCAATCTTCTCGACTTTCTTGTCATCCGCGTCCTTGGCTGTTGGAGGGGCCTCAGGAATTCTCAGGGCTCTTGTGTTGCACGCGAAGGCACACCTCCCAGGAACGCATCATCCTCCTCACATTCACCCTCCTCCTCCTCATCCTCCTCCTCCATGCACGTTCGGCTCAAGCCCGCGCCGACGGTAGGTTTCACGGCGGTTGGGCGGGCTCGCGCCCGCCTCCGCGGCCGGCAGTCGGGGCAGAGATGCGTGCAGGGTGGGATGACAAAGCGGAAGAGGAAACACGGGCCGCAGTTGCGGATTCTTCAAAGAGCAGCGGCGGCGGTTGGGGAACAAGTGGGGGTTGGGGCGGCCGCAGTGGCGGATACGGCGGCGGAGGTGACCGCAGTGGCGGCTGGGGCGGCGGAGATTCTCTTGGCGGATGGAGAGGAAAAGCGCAGGATGGCGGCGACGGAAGTGACCGCAGTCGCGGATGGGAGGGCGGCGGATGGGGCGGCAACGGATGCGAGGGTTGGGGAATGGAGGGCGCCCGCTGGTGGGACGACGAGGGTGGCTGGTGGAATGCATGGGAAGGTGGCCGCTCGAGTGCCTCGGCAGGTTCTCCTGCCGCGGAGCCCGCGGCCGCAACAGCGGCGGGCAAAGGAGGCGGTCCCCTGCTTCCCCCAGGGCGCGAAGAACAAGGCGCAGTTGCGCTGTTTCAAATTGTGCGCAATGAGCCGCTGCCAATTTTCAAGTTGGAATTCTTCGAGAACTTCAGGGCGAACTGGAACGGCAATTATAAGCAGCACAACGCGGCCTTGAAGTGGTTCCGAGACGAGTACGAAGACCGAGAAAACCCTTTCGGCAGCCGCACGCCCGTCTTCGGAGGTACCGCAGTTGCGGAGGAAATTTCGAAGATCCTTAAGTACCGCGCAAAGGGGAAGGCGCAGGACAACAGGGATTGGGACTGGGACCACACTGTCAAAGTGCCGTGGTCTTGGCTGGAGATGGTCGCGCAGATGGATGGACCTACAATGCTGCGCGTCGTGTGCGGCCCTGACAATGACCGCAGTCGCGGGTTGGTCCGCTGCGAGTGCCGCCCGTGCCCTAGCAGTCTCGACAACATGAGGCACACGAAAGGGGTGGACAGAGGACAGGCGCAAAGAATCCCTCTGCCCCAGTGGGATTTCGTCCTCATCCGCGACGACGGCTCGGGCATTCGCGTCCACCCATCCTGGTCTAGCCCGAAGTTCAACACGTATGAGGTGGAGCCGCACTCGCATCCCGTGCGGGGCCCGAGGGCAGGTCTCGGCAAGAGCGATGGCCACGGAACGTTCACGTTCTGGAAGATGCTGCACGCCCATCCGAATCCTGGGCGGTTCGACGCGAGCAAGGGGGCGCATCTGCAACCGCGGTGGTCCGCGCAGCCTTGACACCGCAGTTGCGGGATTGCGCAGCCATGGAACCGCAGTTGCGGAAACCGATCGCGTGACGCCGCGCTCGTTTGACTCACTATGCGCGCTTTCGGCCGCAGTTGCGGCGCTGCCTTCAAGCGACTTCATACAGCTTGGCCGCAGTTGCGGCGCTCCCACGACTGACCGCTGTAATTAGGTGCTTCGGGCGCGCATCACCTCCGTTGAAGCACTCGTGACGTTAAGTAGCGCGGCCGCAGTTGCGGAGACAGGTACTTAAACAGATGGATCCGCAGTTGTTCGTCGTCCTCGTATCCCCTTCCCCGTCGTCCTCGTCGCAGTCTCCTCCCTCCGCCTTTCCTCCTCGTCGCAGTTCCTTCCGTTGGCCGTAGCCCGCCTCCGTTGGCCGAGTCATTTCCCGTCGTCCTCGTCGCTTTCCCCCCCGAGGGCCGCAGTTGCGGACTTTGTTGATTCCTCCTCCTCCGTTTCTTGCCCGTCATCCTCGTCGCAGTCCCCTTGCTCCTTTCACCCTCGTCTGAGCTCTTCGCGCCATCCTCTTCCGTCGCGTCCTCTCCATCCTCCTCTTCGCCTTCCTCGTCCTCATCCCCGCCGTCTCCCTCGTTGCCGTTCCTCTCCCAAGCCGGCCGCAGTTCCCCCGTCGGACGGGGGCCGCGCGCGGCCACGCCATGGACCCAGCTCGCAAAGCCGAGGTCGACAAGCGGTTCGCCGAGCTGAAGCAGCAACTGCGGGAAAGGCTCGGCGCGCAAGGGGCTGCCGCGGATGCCGCAGTCGCGGAGCCGACGGAGGACCGCAGTAGCGGAAGCC